CACACACACACACAGATCTGAGAGTGAGCACACTGGCACACACACACACGGAGCACTGAGAGTGAGCACACGACCCACACACACACAGAGATCTGAGAGTGAGCACACTGGCACACACACACACAGAGCACTGAGAGTGAGCACACGACCCACACACACAGAGCACCAAGAGTGAGCAGACTGACACAGAAACAGACACCTCTCACTCCATTAACCTTCAGATTAGCTACTGAAAGCACATGGGTGCATGAGTAAGCTACAGATAAACTCGACTAATTAGAACCCTGCAGGAAATTCCTCTGGCCCTGCCAGGGGGGCACAGCTCAGAGCCTGATCGCTGGGCCGGACTCTCAGGGCAGACCACAGCACACAGGCTCTCCATTCCCAGGCTGTTGTATTTCCATGGCAACCGTCTCCAGGCAGCGCCTCGCGCTCTGTCGCCGTGGCGAGAATGTTCCAGGGCTGCCTGTGCCGCGCGCTAAGAGGGGGTGTTCAGACACAGCGGAGGGGAGACTGCACAAGCTCCAGTACTAAGGAAGCAAAATTCCCTCCAGCTTTTTTAGCACTATTATCAATACAAGGCCCTCCCAAAGCACAACAAAAAACAGTGGGACCAATTTCCAGGCTATCAACAACACATTGGTCTGATCGTCTGCATCAGGCCCTGTGTGGTGTACAAGGCTCATCTGTGCCCGAACGAGGATGTGTTTGTGCCAGCTCCGTTTCATGCCTGGTGCTTTACTGCCTGTTGCATCAGACACAGCCCTGGTAAAAGTGACAGGTCTCTGTGCCACCGGGACCCCAGCAGGGTGTCCTGGATCTGCACTGGCCTGGCACAAACAGCTCCGCGCCACCACCGTGCCACCTCTGCTCCGCATGCGCCCTGCTGCTGGGCATCACGATGCCACGGAGCAGTAGGACCCAACCCCACCCATCCCCTGACCCTCGACCCCTGACCCGGGGACAGAGATACAGGAAAGCGCACCACGGAGAGCACGATCAACAGGCGGCTTACTTACGTATTCTTTGACATTCTTGGTCTTCACTGCCTTGTAGGAGGAGTAGGCGGGATACAGGGTCCCAAACACCAGGCTGCAGGAACACGAGCAGAGAGGTCACACGCTACTGGCGATGGTGGGAGGGCGGCCCCTCTCCCCCACCACGGCCGAGCTCCTCCTCGCTAAGCTGGGCTCGCTTCTCCCTTCATAGCTGTGAATGAGCCCTGGTCCCCAGGCTGGCAGGGACCCCGATATCCGAGGGACTGCCGGCTGAGCGCGTCCCCAGCAGACAGGAACCGGGACCCCCCGAACCAGACACAGCTCTTTCCCCGGTTTCAACTCAACCAACACACTGCAGCACTGGAATCTGGGACTTTCTCCCAGTACAGCAGGCATATCCGTGTCATCTATGTTCAAGCCCACTGGATACCTGATAGCCACTGAAAGCAATCAGGGAAAGTTATTGGCTCACTTAAGATACCAGTTAAGAAGCTGAGAGCGCATCTGGAATGAAAATAATTCAAATGGATGGCCCCTACATCAAGGTGGTGAGGAGTCTGAATTGATTCTGGGCCAACATTTGGCACTAAGTGTGTTAAGGCAGTTAAGGGGTTAATTTAGGACTACATCATGCCAGCCAGCTCTGCACAGAACAATGCCTCCCTCTCTCCCTCTCTCTCCGGGTCCCCACACAATCACGGATCCAGCGCCTGTCCTGCCAAGAGCTCCCATTCAAAACCCCCCACCCCCAGCCATCCCAGTCCGGGGGCTGATTCACACAAAAGCTCCACAATCCGTCTCTCAGCGAGAGCTGGGCCAGGCTTGCCTCCCCTCTCTATTCACAAAGTTTTTTTTTTTTAAATCATTTTCTTTCTGGAAAACAGAAAAGTGCATAAAATCAGGTTTTGTTCACTCTGTGAAAGAGCAGGGCAAACGGTTGGCAGTAGGAGTTCACACTGCAAGCAGCCCGTTGTAGCCCAGGGCCAAGAGGGGTCCCAGCCAGCAGGAGACTGTCGGGATCCTTTGGGTGCTGGTAGGATCTCCTCCAGCCACGACCTGCAGGACCCCAGGGAAACTCTATATCCAGCGGCTCTATCACCCCGCAGTTCCTAGCCGGCACCCCGCTGGGGCTCAGCAGTGTGAGCCTGGTCAGCACCTGGATGGGAGACCTCCTGGGAAAGCTAAGGCTGCTGCTGGAAGAGGTGTTAGTGGGACCAGTAGGGGGCGCTCACCCTGCGGTCTGTGTGGGTCCTAATGCCCCAGTACAGATGTGGGGACTGTAAAAAAGGTGCCGTCCTTTGGATGAGACGTAAAACCGAGGTCCTAACTCTGGTATTAAAAATCCCGGGGTGCTTATTGAAAAGAATAGGGGTGTTACCCCGGTGTCCTGGCCTAATTCCCCTCCTGGTCTTTTCCCATCATGGCCTCCTAATAATCCCCATCTCCGAACTGGCTTCATCACTCTGCTCTCCTCCCCACTGAGAGCTGCTGTGTGGTGAGAGTGCTAGAGCATCATCCAGGTAGGGCTGCACAATGGTGGAGGTGGAGGGGATCCCCATTACCTGTAGAGCACTTTGAGTGCGGTGTCCAGAAAAACGCTATATAAGTTATTAGAAACTTCTTCAGAACCACGACTGGGGAGGGTGATCCAGAGCCCACAGACTTTCAGAACCTGCGGTTTCGAGTCCTGCGTCCTCCCGGTACCTGTGGGTCGAGTCCTCCAATGGAGGTCCCTTTGGAGTGCCTGCTGCTTAAGACTAAAAAGATTGAGTCCCTCTAACCAGGGGAGACATCTTACAAAAATTCTCAGGAAGAGCATTTTAGGGGCTCCCCTCTGTAAGTGTTCAGGGTCCCCTCCGTTACCCTGGTCGTCTTATACTTCAACAGATATGCATCTAGCTGGCTGCGGGACAGTTTCCTACTCTACTGAATGTTATGTCTTTTGCTGCCCCCTCCCTCCTGACCCCTACAGATGGGAGGGGTTCCCTCCTCGCTGGCCCTGTGCCCCCATCCTGAAATAATGCCACTGGCTGTAACATGGGGAAACACCCAAAACAGCTGGATGAGATCCCCCAGGCAAGTCAGGAGACCCTTCTTTACACAAAGGATGGCAGGAGGCTGGAACAAGCTACCCATGAATTTGACTTTTTTTTCCACCTTATTCATCTTCATAATCCACCTAGTGCTTTAGTAATGCCAAATCCACACACGAGCTAAACACGGGCAGAATGACCTCCTCTCTTTTGTAACTGCTCTGATGTGACCGCCTGCTTCTGTTCTCTCAGTGGATAAACGCACTGGGTAGTCAGTGCAGGAGCCGTATGGCCAGCGGCCGCTCGAAGAGGCCCACGGCCCCCGCCTGACCGCAGCAGTGGGGGGGGGGGGGGCAGACGCGCCCTGCCGCTGGCCCTGGCGTCTGCGCTCCCTGCCTGGCTGCATGCTGCCGAGGCGACAGGACACAGCTGACACAGCGCGCCAGCCCTGCGCAACCAGATCGCCCCGGCCCTGCAGCGCATCATCGCTCCACCGTAGAGGACTTTAAATACTGATGCATCTTGAATACAGCCACCTTCTAATCACCCAATCCCAAAGCAGCACAAATGAAGTGCCTTTTGCCTTTTGAAAGGCTTATTTCCCTTGAAGATGATCTTGAAGGAGTCGGCTAGGTCAATCTTTGTGGCTTTTGAATAGTTAAATCAAACCTCCCTGTAGTCTCCTTTGATTAAAGCTAAAGAGATTCAGTTTCATTACCCTGTCTGTGCAAAAGGTCTTCCTGACAGATCAGGAAACCACCACGTTGTCCTTCTTTGGACCGAGCTCAGAGCAGCATGGGAGAATCAAACACCGACTTGACCAGAGACCTGGACAGAGCCCAGTGATGAACAGGCAGGACACACACACAGCCAAACCTAGTGGCTACACATGTCCCAAACAGGACTAGACACTGGTCAGAAGACCGGAGCCCACAACCCGTCCGCGCCTGTGGGCAGAGCAGCCAATGAGCCGAGTGGGCCTGGGAACTGTACTCTCTTCCAGCTAGAACTTTCCGAGCTCATGAAACACAGTGAGCGGTACTGCTCCCAGCACCAGGGGGCCGAACCTTGAGCAACCCGAGGCTCGTGCAGGCCCACTTTCCAGACACGCAGCTCATCTTCTGACACAAAGAGCTGGACTCCCAGACGGGACAAGAGCAAGCAGAGACAGAAGGACAGACGGGGGTAAGAATGCTTGTCCTGTGTTGTTCTTCAAACTCATCTCTCTGTCCAGCAGCTTGTGCAGAGGTGAGGAACCGGGCTTCTCCAATGCAGAATATTATTTCTGGTAAAAGCAGACATGGAGGCCACAGGAGGTAAGGGAAAGCACTGTGCTTTGTCTGCAAGGCTATCTCTCTGGTTCTGCGCCATTTCATTTACAAAGACCAGGCCCTGAACCTGGTACCGCGCATATCGACCTCCAATTCTCTCCTACTCGCGAGTCTCTGCACCCCCCTACCTTTCCCATACACCCCCAGGCCAGTCCGGGGCACAGCGCTCCAACACCACACAGATCTAGTCTCCGTCTCTCATTGCTCCAGAACCAGGAGGTTAAAGGATGACAAAGGCTCCCAACACTGACAAGCCGAAGGAACCAAGTCTCTTTAATCATAAACGGAGATGACTATGAGGAGACCTGACACAAGTGTTCCAAATCCCCAAAGACACTGACACAGTCAACCCAGATCAGAATCAACAGTGAAACACAAACCAGAGGACACCAGTGGAAACTACAGGAAAGAGCCTTTAACACTGAGAACAGGAGGCACGTTTGTACACAAAGGGTTGTGGGAGAGTGGAACAAGCTGCCCAGTGATGTAATTGAAACCAATACCCTGGCTTCCTTCCAGAAACCACTCGTTTGCAGCCATTCTTAAGTTGTTCTTTTGAAGCTCGTTTTGTCCAAAGCCTTGGTCCACCTTTACCATCTCATCCTTGATATTTTCAGAGGGAACAGACCTCTGCAGGTCTGACTGACTTTTGTTCAGAAGAGAGGAAATAAAAACTGCGGCGGTAAGCAATGATGGGTCTGTGCAAGAACCGCCTGGCCAGAGAGTGCAAACAGACAATCCAAGGGCCTATTTCACTGGATGGGCTGTGCGGGCACACGGAGGGGAGAGGGCAACAGAAATAGGGGCAAACAAACTAGATCAGCCCTTCCAACCCCACCCAGGCCTGCTGCACTTCCTACCCACTGAGCTTCGTACCTGATGCACAAGTAATTGAATCGGAGCCTTTGGAGCTGTTCGCCTGCTTGAAACCTACGACTTACCAGCAAAACACAGCAGTCAAAAGCCAATCTCTAACATTACGCCAGCATCCACTTAAGAGCTGAAAACATCAGACTGATCCTGTGATTAACTCATTTAATTATGTAACTTGAGAGCGCAGAGGAAACTAACCCTGGCAGGTTCTGGGTCCTGAACTAGCTGATAGTGTGTCATTAGAGAGGCCCCGCATCAAAATAAAAACAACAGTGCAAATTCCAGGGACAGTCACACTGATCCAAGCCCCCCCCGGTCTCTGTTTAACTCACATAATGAACCAGACATCCACTGTCCGGGTCAAGAGATTATGATCTGTAGAGAGAGGCTGGACAGGCCACATTAAGCTACTTATTGTGTTTTTATTTTTTTGCAAACACACAAACACAAGGGCTAACTGACCATATTTTGTTTTTAAAAAACCACAGTGTTTGCACTGCAGCATCTTCTCTGTATGGCTCTGCGCTACACACTGCTGAAAGTCATTCCGTTCTTTGCTAATGGTTTTTACAAGCACACTGATGCATCTTGAATACAGCCACCTTCTAATCACCCAATCCCAAAGCAGCACAGCCTAGTGCCTTTATAGCATTATTTCTCAGACTAGACGTTTTTTTGGAAAAAAGCCTGCCAGTGTTTCAGGTGCAGTTCAAAATATATCCGTTTTCTCAGAGTTCTGAAATAAAATACCATTTCCAAATTATTTTCATATACTTGGCCTCTTAATCACGTGAGGGTTAATTTCAATAATTAGACAACCTAGTTACTTAGCCTACATAGAACTCCTTGATGGCTGCCAGATCCAAAGTGACTTTGAAGAGCAAGCGCAGTAGACCTCCTCTGAGAAACAGAAAAGGTAAACGCACACCACAGTCGCCTGAAGTTTAACTGGTGTTCATTTTCCCTGTCCTCCCGGTTTTTTTACATCTCGCAGTACATCAGTGTATGATCCATCATCAAGACCGCAGGATATCTGATGTCCGACACCCCTGCTGTACATTCATGGATCCCCAGGCTGGGAGGGGAAAATAAAGTGGGAAAACTCCCTATACAAGGGCTTACTTGAGGGGGGAACAGCATGCCCTTCCTACACATGCTTTCAAATTTCAATTAAGAGACTCTGTAACAGACGGCCTCCTTTCAAGGGTGATGAATGGCTGTCATTTGCTCCAGTCCTTTGAGGGCAGGTCCTATTGTTAGGGGACAGCGCTATTGTTTTTCTAAACGCGTTGGTTATGCAGCTAGATCACTGCCAAGGGTACCTCATTGAAGGTCCTGGAGTTGTGCACAGGGTGCTGATTGTGTCCCTAGCCAGAATGACCCACGTGCGTGGACCGGGCTGTCCGAAGCTTTAGAGACGCCCTCAGAGAAAACTCTTTCCTGCCAGTGGAGACAGAGACAGAGGCAGCGGCGCCGATTCCGACCCAGGTACCACACTCACGTTTAGGAAACAGGCAAGGAAAACCAGGCCACTGCAGCAGCTGTCACCCTGGGAGTCCTGTGAGTGAGGAGAAACCGCATAGGGTCCCCAAAAAGCAACAAGGGATGTTCTGCTGAACTCCTGTGCACTTTATCAGTCACATTTCAGTCATCCATCCATCTTCTAACCGTTTTATCTAACTCAGGGTTGTGGGCGAATCTTTGGACTTTGAGAGGAAACTGGAGCACCCAGAGGAAACCCATGGGAACACAGGGGTGAATATACAAACCTCACACAGACAGCACCGCAGGAATCGAACACTAGGCCCAGCACTGCAAGGCAGCAAACACATTCGCCCCATATTTCTGCCATTTTCCAGTCAAAAGAATAAGGTAGAAGTTAGTCCTATATTCAATTTTTGCTTTGCTCCAGTACTTTTGTTAGGGTATGCCTATTGACCACAACAAAAGTCCAGATTGTGTCTCTGTCCAGCACAGGGTGTCATGCCTCTACAGAGGTAATCACCCTGTACTACACTGCAAAGCAAATGCGTCTCAAGTAATTCAATCAACCAGATTTTAAAGTATGATGCTTTACATTTTAGGGCTTTTAATAAAGAAAATAGACACCTTTTCCATTTTTGTTCCCTTTTCTGCTGATTTGGCCAGTCCCAGACCGACAGTAAGTGCCCTGAAGTGCGCAGGCCGAGGAGAAGGCTGCAGGGAGGCCAGGAGGCAGGTGAGCTGGGCCGGGGAGCCACCCGCTGCCTGTCCGCGATACATCGCCTCACACGGAGCATGAGCGCATCACAGAGACGGGAGACACGTTTGTACATGGACAGACTGACAAAACCTGCAGATCATCAGAGCAACACCATTTCCGAATTCCAGCTGAATCCAGCAGAAAGATAAATGAGTCACTGGAACTAGTACAGTCCGATTTGTGACGTGCACAAACAATAATTAATTTGCTATGAAAAGGCTCTGATGACTGTATGGCAATTCGGCAAACAGAGGGGGAGGGGGAGAGAGAGCAGAATAAGATAACTGAGGGTTCCACCTCTAGCACAATTAGAATTATTAACAACCTTCATTCAGCACCCAGTATTTATCATATTGCGGTGACACGCAACCGACATCCGGCAAGATCGCTGTATTTGCTTTGATCTTTCATCCCCCTGCCATAAATAGCTAAATTGGATTGGCGATACAGCTGCAGCAGCACAGCTAACTGAAATGGCAAACATGGGCCGATGTAACAACAAACATGCTCTGAGCATACTTACACCACTAATCTAGAGATGATCCAGGAAACCATCTTGGTGAATAAACGGTGTTTATTCCTTTTTAATTTCTTCCCCCCAGGTAGCAGTATTAGCGTACAGCAGGGGTACACTTTAAAGGTACGGATTCTGCTGCATTCTGTGTGGAGTCCGCTGAAGAGAATTATATTAGCCCACCTCCTCCACAGTTAAAGGGGCGGCTCATTGCGCTGGATTTTGCCGACAGATAATGATGCTCATGCTCCTATCACCGCAGATCCTGCGTAACCTGCGTCGTTTTCGCCTGGACACTGGATTTAAGAAACTCTGCACTCGATCTAAAGACACTTCATCCAAAGTGTGTATCTTTCTATCAAATATTTTACTTTCCCACCTTGCTAAAAAGACTTGGTATCTATAAAAATGTCAGTTTATAGTTTCATGCTCAAACTATAAACAATCGTTTTACACCACACACAGTATACATTTGTAATCTAACATTTGCTATTTGCCGTTACTGGTATTTTCTTACTGTTTATAGCGTGATTGTGTACTTTGCATTTAATGATGAGGTAGCTTCTCCAGATCAGGAATATCTGGTGGGGCATTGAGTGAGTGACAAAGGTGATTCAGGCTAAAATATTTATTTGTGGTTTAAATAAAAAGTTGGTTTTTCCAATGCTGAAATCTTCTAAACATTTTATTAATTCTCCATGAACAATTTACACTATAAACTTCCAATTTCCCTGTTTTGTCAAAGTAATTCACAAGGCTGGCCGGTGGAAGATTAGGTACTAGGAAGATGTTACTGTATCTGTTTTGCTTGAAGGCAGTGCTGTAACTATTGGAAGACAGCATTCCAGGTGGGTTGAAGCTAGTGAAAATTAAAGACAATATAGGACACATTACAAACCATTTAAAAACAATTCCTGGAGAATCAGACCTTCATGTTCGTACACTTAGTGCACTTGTGTTTCAGCCCTCGTCAGCGCTGTTTTAACTCTCCCTTTGTGACATTTAGCTCATAGATCAGACTTGCTCTCTTCAGCAACTTGCTCATGACATCAGGGTAGAAGGTCCCCACCTCCTCAAGGTCCTCCTTAGACAGAGACAGAATGTCCACATAATTCTCTGCGATGACTGACTCCTCACACCTCTTGCGCCTCAGCAGGAAGATGACCCCATACGACCTGCCCCTAGACAAGAACTCCACTTCCTCTTTCTGGTCGGGCCCATATGAGATCACCCTCACCTTCCCATTCAAGATCAGTAGCATCTGCGTGCCGATGTCTCCTTTTCTGGACAAGAACTCACCTGCAAGTCACAAAGAAAAAAAACACTGACTTCTGATATTTTTACGTACTGTGCAGAATGCCCTTATGAATTGTCCATTTAAATCATTTGCTTTTCATAATGCAAAGACTCCTGTCATCTACAAACATCTGCTCTCACATGAACTATGCGTTAAAATATCCAGCCTGTCTTTACAGCTGTTGGCTGTGTATGAAAACATATCTAAACTGAGTTTGATACACTCATTGCCCTGTTGCAGCTCCACACTCACCAGTAATGTAGCTCATCAGTTTCATTTTGGTAGAGATGTGGCGAAGATAGGTTTCTGACAAATGGGTGAACAGTTGTTGCTTCTTCAGAAGACTTACACTAATCCTAAAACATAAAAAAAACATGGCTTCTTCAGGTAAAGTACTTGCACACAGGAAGAAAACTCATCCCAGATCTGGGATATTAAAAGATCAGAAAAAAAGAATATTAAGTATGTATTCTCAGATACCTGGCAAAAACCTCCGTTTTCATACAGCTAGGTGTGTCTCTGAACAGAGTTTCAGAATCTATCCCCTTATTACACGTCCATCTATTGTTATAGAACTGAATCACACGCTCTTGTAAAGATGGGGGGATATTTTCATCATTCATATAGTCTTTGACAGTCTGAAAGAAAAAAAACAATGGATTACATTGCCTCCTACCTCAAGTGAGAATGTTAGTAATTACTGAGCTCTTCCATGTTTTGTATTTATCTTTTTTTTTCTCCAGGCATGTTTCCTGCCTAAGTGATTTTAAAGCCAGTGGGTCCTTGGTTCATAAACCCTCAAATGCTAGCAGCACCTGAACTTTTCAGCCCCTCTAAATACCCAGTCAGCAACAGGAATAGCCGGATTATTTTCCAGCTTTTGAAAATAAATAACCCAATGGCATGGTTTCGATCTGGGTTACTGTGGCTCCTCCATTCTGTTCTACTGCAGCACCTGAACACACCAAGCAGCCCTGTCCCTGATTACCACTAGTCAGATAACGAGCTACTGTAGGTGCTGGCACTGAAACAGAGTGCACTGGAAGGGGCATATGGCATTTGCCCGTGCTTTCAGTTCTTTAAGAGGTAAGGAGTCAGATTTAACAAATTAAATAACAGGGCCACCATCCAGGGCACTATGGGTTCTGTATATTCCCTTCTTTTACCAATGTAATAATAATGCACACATAAGCAGAAAACATAACATATAAATAACATTACCAATTATTACTTTTACTAAATTACATTACAGCCGTGTTTTAAATGAAAGAGAAAGAGCTGTAAAATTTTGCAATAAGTCAGTATAATTAAATACTAATATGTCTTAAAACATTTAAGACCTACATACCTGCAGTTTCTCTTCATATGCAACCTGAAGAGCATGTTTGTTTGTCTGTGTGGAAGATATTGTTCCCATATGATAGGCAATCAATATTTTGGAAGCAATCATGACAAAAATGGAAAAACACATTTCTGCATATGTGCAAGCCCGGATATCGCCATAGCCAGTGGTTGTGAAAGTTGCCAGCGTCCAGTAAAAAGCATAGGCGTAGAGTTCCGAAAAATAGGAAACATCTACAAAACAAGCATGTGTATGTGTTACTTTTAAAATTACTATTAATTGACATTCCAAATGTTATTAAAAGAAAATTCAATGTCAATGTTTTTCTAAATATACTCAAATATACATTCTATACATAAGTACATTTAATGTAGATTATATTAATTTATTTACATGTCTGGTTAAGAAGGAAACTTACCTATAACTGAATACCATGCATCGGGATTGCATTTCAATGGGCAAGCCAGCATCACAAATACAATAGCACAGCTGTGTACAAACAGAATTGCATGTACTACATATTTGATCACTCGAATTCCCATAACACTGTGAAAGAGAAACAGAAAATCTAGACAATGTTCACAAAATAACAAATTTGAATAAATTCATTATATGTATGCATATGCATTTTATTTATTTTATTTTATATAGATGTCATGTACTTTTCAAAGTTTATTATATAGTATTAAAATGTAGAACAAATGACATCCTCCTCTTAACTGTTAAAATAAACAGGAGAAGCAGTAAACTTCACAGAATACTGTTTCAAAATGTATCATGCATGAACAAGATTATTCCTCCAAACAAACCCTAATTCTTCTGAGGACTGACACCTATCTTTCATACTAAATATTCCTGTCCTTAATTGCCATATGAGTTATATAGGAACAGGTAAAGGTTTATTCCATGCTGAAAGGAAAGGAAAAGAGACGCATCAGTTTGACTGTGAAGCCTTCACATCCGAAGAAGGCTCCACAGCTGAAACACAGTCACTCTTTTCTTTGCCTTTCAGCATGGAATACACCTTTATCTGGTCCTTTGCAGCCTTTGCATGCTAATGCAGCTACCTTCTCAAACTTCATGTAAACTGTAAGCTACATACATATTTTGGAGGTTTTTAAAGTTTTAGTCAACTTTCAGACCCACTGTAGCTGAGTGAGCAGTACTGGAACTGAGTTTCAGAGTGCTCAATAGCTCTCAGCTTTCAGCATGACTCCTGGGACTAACCCATCTGTGAGCTTCCAATGACATCAGTGAGAAACATGCTTTTCATTCTTCCGTCTGAAACTAATGTGTTCATTCTGACATTCATATTTTCCTCTATACAATATTGAAAAATGCAGTCATACAATAAATTAATTGGAGCTGTACTTACGTGGTACTGATAGAATTGTCTTCACTTTGCATAAATACTAAAACAGAGAAAATCCTGAACAAATGACCTGTCCGGACCCACACTAACACAGCCAAAAACGTAGATTTATCTGTTTCTCTGGCTAAGTGCATGACTGTAAGACCATAGGGGAAAGAGGATAAAATGTCGTAAAAAAACCCAACTTTGTTCTTCAAGTAGTTTTTTGACACAGATTCATAATCGGAGATGTAGGTTCTTTTTTCATCATAATAGCAAATGCGAAACTTAACTATAATCTGTAACGAAAGCAAAGAAAACAGACAAATCAGAGGAATTCTCTCCTATTCCAAAGACAAATCAAGGACCTGGGTTCAGGAATTGGTTGGGTGGGATCACAATAGGGAGCCTCTACATTACACAGTAACATTATTGCTTTCCCCATTGCCCTGTACCATCCAATACAGTGCTTTCAACAATGTCTAAAAGGGTGAAAATGAATGGGGCTCCTTCATAATGAATGCTATGTTCTCATTTGACATTTGAGAATCTCCCGTTACACCTTATTGTCCTCTCAAAATCATACCCCTATCGGGCCTTAAATCTCCCTTAGTCAACAGCCCGACTCCCATAACAAAAACAACTAGGGAAAGAAACATTTAAAGCCCTGTTAAACCATTAGCATACAAGGAAAATTTAAAAGTCCCTAAAAACACACAGATCTGCCAATATTGAAATGCTTACCTCAAGCATTTGGATGTATTCTATAATCATCGTTAACAAAAAAATGCTTTTATCAACTTCAAAAACAGTAGGCTAGAAAAAAAGAATTTCTCATTAGTATTTAGTACTCTACTTTTCTTTCAGTCAGCTGCTGAGGTAAAAGAATCAGAAGCTGTCAGATACAGACAGATTGTCAGATCTTAGATGAACATGTCTCAGACGGGACCAGCAGCAGATATTTTTCTTAAATTTGGCTACTGACCACAGTATCTTCCAACCACAGCAGACCAGAAAGCCCCTCATACACTAATTTGTGTTAAGTCTGTAAGTATTTTTATTTACAGGTTTTTATTTACAGGTCTTCCCTTCCCCATTTAATCATATAACACACTGCAGATTTTATTAGTATAGTAGGCATTTCTGATCTACACAGACATGGTGGTGGTGGGGACCCCATTACCTATAAAGTGCTTTGAGTGGAGTGTTCAGAAAAGCGTTATTATTATTATTATTATTATTATTATTATTATTATTATTATTATTATTATTAATCCTGCACATGGACTATTCTGTTTCTCAATGTATGCATTTTGTTAGCTACCATTAGTTGGCATTAACGTCACTTTTAAATAGTATAAGCCAATGTATTTGAGTGACACAGTACACTTACAAGGTGATACTGTATCTTCAAAGATATCTTACAAGTGAGTGACTTATAGAGGTGAAAAAACAGACTGTTAACATGAGTCAATAAAATGGGGTTGTCAGACATTCTGGAATATGTGATGCTGATAGTGGTACTGAAGAATACTGAATAAAACCAAACAAAATCATTCATCCAAAAAACCTCTATTTTCTAAGTCATGAAATATCCAATGTATTATCCAGTACATGGCTGCGGGTTAGCCTGAGCTTTCCCGGCAAGCAATGGGAGCAAGGCACAATATACAGTATATCCTGGATGGGATGCCAGTTCCTCACAGGGCACATGCACATGCAGACACAGACACACACAGAACAGGGCCAGTAGCCAACAAACCCACGTGTTAATTCTGTTTGGACTGTGAGAGGAAATCGGTGCACCTGGAGGAAACTCAAGCCATCATGGGGGCAACATGCAAACTCCCCACAGATAGCAGCCCAGGAATTGAACCTAGGGCCCTAGCAATGTTAACCACTGTACCACCCAAAACAAAAAATATTTTTCAAAAAGAATAAGAAGATAGTCAGGGGACAAAAGTGCAGTTTTTAATAACTTAAATTTAACTGAAATGTACATAATGCAGTGTTACTGTTGTTATTATTATTTGTAAAAAGCAGAACCTGTCCCAGAGGTCCAGGGTGCAAAGCGAGTCTACACCCTGATCAGAATGACATTCCAATTAAGGACACAAAAATACACAATCTAAGCACACTGCTGCCCTCAATTGTGCTCTGAACATTCACAGAATCTAACATATTTTCCATAAAAAAATTGCATTGTGTCAATAATCCGAAGTCTTAATTTGACTGAATACCAAGGAACATTGTGATTCTTGGGTGGCATGGTGTCATGACAGCGCTGCGAGACAGCAGTGAAGCACTGTCACAACAGTTTCCCATGTTCGATTCTGGACTGAAGAGATTTAGGTGAAGAGTTTGCAGTTATTTCCCTTGGGTACATGAGTTTTCACTTGCTGCTTCTTCTGTTAATTTAAAGACACGCTGGCTAATTTAAATTGTTCCCGCATATGTATGTGTGCGCCCTGCAATGGACTGAGATACCTCCTGTGCCCATCATCTGCTGGGTTAGGCCCAAGCTCACCATGTTTCCACACTATCCTAAGTGGATACGGAAAATGAAAAGGGTTATATACAGTAGTCTTTCTTTGGACTGTTCAGAGGCAATCTTGGCCATACCACATAAAATCAAGTTTTTAAACATTTACAAGCATAATTCTTCATTTCATGTTTCTGTTAGCACTTCTTGCATTTACACCACTGAAATCCACTATGAAGTGTTTCATCTGGATTGTGATTACTGGGTAGGAAGATATTTTAATCCTTTGTCTTCTACTGTATGTGTAATACACACATAGAATTTATTCCCAAATCCTTAGGTACATTATGTAACCATACAATCCTACACTACATATTTTCAAATTTTCTGATAATAAATAAAAGTACTCATTGTATTATTAAGGTAACATTACAATTCATAGTTCAAACTATACAAAATAAATCCTAAAGAATTCGTGCAATTAAATCTTACTCTGATGTTTTTAGCAAGTAATTTTTATTGATGTCAGATTTTAATGGTTAGAGGATAAATAGTGTAACAGAATATTATTCCAGATAGCTGAAATGTACGTTTTCCCTTATATTTTAAAAGAACTGGTCTACCTTGAAGTTATCAGACTAAATTATTATCCATTAAATCTTACTTGATACAAAACCAAATTACTATGAAACAATTCCTTCTAGTGCCTATTTAAAAAAAAATCTATAAAAAATGTGTACCTACCATGAATGAGATAGCCCAAAAGCTGAAAACGATCAAGACACAGGAGGAATACTGATAAATGACTCTGATTTTATTCTCAGGATCAATGGTTGTATTGTGGATTTTGACAATCCCATTCAGAAAACTTCTGTAGAAGTTTATGATATTATTCCTCATCCGAATATTCAGAGGCAAAGCAACATTGGACTTGTGTGCTTGATCTTTCATATAGTCTTTGTAAAACTTAATAACTAAAAACAACAGACAAAACATCAAGTATAAGAACAATACAGTTAATCAATTTTTTGCCCAGCATAAGGCTTAATGTAACACTGACAGGGAAACAAGCAGAAGTAAATTCCCTACAGGAAAGTGGAAAAAAGAGGAAGAAACAATGTGGCTCAGGTGTCTTCTTCAGGTATGGGGGAGAAATAGGGAGAAACAATACTGGTCCCCTTCTGTGTGCATATACAAAGCAATATGTTTAGTGTTAATCACTGGGCAGCTTGGGCTGAGCTGGTTACTTATGTTTTTGCCGGCTGCAGACTTTATCAGGCCTGCAATCACACTGGTGTGAAAGAAATGCAGATGTGTATGGCAAATCTGCATCCACCAAAGTAGCTCCCTTGTGGCTGAGAGTATCCTGTATCTTGTATCAGCTGTTCCTGGAACATGTCTTTCTGGGGTTAATTGCACTCCACCCACCCACCCCCCCCCAGCATGTGTGTGTGACCAGGGCTTTACAGAATAATCAATGACAGAAATGTTCATCAGTAAGAAAGCCATTAAAATGAATTATTTAAACGGGTCAAGACAATATACTTACGTCCAGTTCCATTCTGAAATGAAGCTCTTCCCTTGTCTCCAGGTGTCTTTGTGAGCAATTGTTGAGCTTTAAGCTTTATCAGGAGGTCTCGTTTAGCTGCTGCAGCCTCCTTGATTTCCTTGCAGATATCGGGGTAATATTTCACCGTTTCATCCAAACTCTTCTTTGACAACACATACATATCACAATTTGTAGCAGCCCTGTGATATATACAGTAGTAGCACACAGTATTAATGTAATTTCCTTATTAAAATTATAACTAACTGTAAACACATACATCTTTAGTAAGGACATGGTGGATTAGACCCCATACTTGAGTTCACTTCAAATTTCTGTTATTAGAAAAATAGGAGGTATATCTCAAAGTACAAGGGCTGTCTTGTCATTTTCCACAGGAACATCATTAATTTAAGGACTGAAGCAGTCCTTTTGACTATTTGATTGTTTTTTCTGTCAGTTCTACTCTTTAAGAATAAAATAATCACTATGTGCATCAATTTAGAAAAATCCCACTGTCTTGTCATGCCTGATTGTTGTTGACCGAGGTTCTGAGAAAAGGAGGCTTCCTTCTCCAAAGTACTGTCCAGCTTTAAGTTTGACTATCACGTTTCGCTCATCCTGGGACAGAACATCAACCTCTCCTTTCTCGATGAAGAACATCTGGGAAAAAAAAATACTATAGCAGCTGATTATGCATTATGCATTATGCCAGCAGCCATATCACCCTGCAGCTCTCAACTGGCTACCCACTGAAGCTCAGCAGGGTTGAGCTTGGTCAGTACCTGGATGGGAAAACTCCTGGGAAGCTAAGGTTGCTGCTGGAAGTGGTTTTAGTGGGACCAGTGGGGGGTGCCCACCCTGCGGTCTGTGTGGGTCCTAATGCCCCGGATAGTGGCAGGGACGCAATACTGTAGCGGGCGCTGTTTTTCGGGTGACACGTTAAACCAAGGTCCTGACTCTCAGTGGTCATTAAAGATCCCCGAGCATTTCTCCATAAGAGCAGGGAGTTATCCCGGTGTCTGGGCCCAATTTCCCCTCTTGGCCTTTACCGTGGCCTCCAAATTGTCCCCATGTATGATTGCACTTGCCCTGCGATGGACTGGCGCCCCCTCCAGGGTGTACCCTGCCTTGCGCTTGTTGCTTGCTGGGTAGGCACCGGCTTCCAGCGACACCATATGGTATAAAGCAGTTTGGCAAATGACATGACAGTCTGCATTCAAATACTAAACTTTAAAATAAAAAAACAATTGATATTTTTTAACACTACAGTAAATATACTGTTTCTCTGTTTGTCACCCATTTACTTTTTCTTGACTTGAATAAACTGATCTGGCATAAATCCACTCCAGCCCTTGACTGAGCAAACCATCCTGGGTAGAGGTACTGCTCACACACCATACCTCTGATCCAAAGTCATTCCTCCTGCAGATAACATCATTGGCTCTGAAAAGGCAAGGCCGAATCTGCCTAGCCAACATCCGAATAAACCCTCCATCTGTCTCCAGCTTCTCCATACTTTCCTTCTGGAGGATTTTATGAAAAATTGGACTCTGTGTGATTCACAATAAAACACAAAAACAAATAAGAATATGACAGATGGCACTTTGTTGCAGAACTAAGGCAGCAGACCACAGTGTTTTGTAAGAAAACATTTAAAGCCAAAGTAAAAAAATCTAACTCAGTTCAAAAGTTTAACTGAAGACCAGTATCATTTGTCATGCTAAATATATTATTTGCACTTCAGGCAATTTCACTTACTGAAGTGATTTTGACCATTTTCTGCTCTTTTCTGCCAACCAAATGTAGGATAAAATTGTTTTTTTTATTTTTTGGTTGAAATGCAAGGCCATTTGTTAGAGAATGCTTTAGTCCTTATCTGACCTGGACATACAATACCTACTTGCCATTTGGTCACTGACAAGAAATAAAGTTTTTTTAAAATAAAAATTACATCTAGTTTTCCTGATAACTTCCGCTCCAATGGAGACAGCTGCTGGACACTTAATTCTGTTCTCTTCCTTGTCTTCATTTTTAGTCCGAAAGCCTGAAACAAAGAATCGTATAAATGTTATTAAAAATATTTACAATCCCAAGAACTGTAGTTGCTCTGCAATAAAAAATCCACAAACTGTAAAGAAACAGGCAGAGATTAATTTTGACATGAAATCTAAAATGAAAATGTTTATTTTTTTACAAATTCCAAGGTAAAAGTGGAAGGCAACAATTTGCCTATTTTGAAGACAGCAGCCAAGTCTTTGAATCCATTTGAATGTGAAAGGCCACAGACAGGACAGAAATGTCAGTGTAATCTGAGTGAAGAGTGGTGAGAGGTGAAAGGCAGGACTATCGGCCTGGAGAGTACTCTGATGCCCACTGCTCTGACGGGGTTGTCTGAAACAGCTGGCCAGTCTTCTTCCTGTTCTGCTGACGTAAATGGCGGGGAACTTACTGCAAGACATGCACTAGATGAGATTGCTTTGGGTGTGAGAAAGAACTGTATGCTCACACCTGAAGAAGGCTCCACAGCCGAAACATTGTGTTTTCTTTCTTCTCTTTTCATCATGGAATAAACCTACTACTGGTTCCTATATCTTATACTGTAAATACTAAAGCATGTCAGTGAGGCTGTTGGTGGATCGATTGGTTACCTTGGCAATCAGATCTGAGTAGATAATGGTGGAAATATCCCCAAGCAGCGACGATGGTAGAAACTCAAAAAGTGTGTCCTGTTCTACACCTTTTGTTCTGATCCATTTGAATACATAAAACTTTACTATATTGCTGTAGGCAGGTCCTGTAATGTTGTTCCTCTAGAAAAAAAATTGATATAGTTTTCAGACCACATGTTGGAGATTTACTGTAACTTGTTGCTCACTATTTATTTTTCCTATTACAGTCAAATTTAACATATGGTACTCTCTCGTCTGTTTGCATTTGTCCTGTTAGCATTCATACACAAAAATGTTTATCATCACCACTTAGAACAGAACTAATGGGTACCAACTGGGAAAAAAAACAGCTAATACTGTATACCTGAATGATATTTAAAAAAAATAGTATGGTAAGTTAATAGAATTCAAAATATGCCAAAGAGAGAGATGTATTACTGGAAGTGGCAATATGAAAGAATGAAAGTATTAAATATTAATGCATAATTCTCAGCTAGTTCAGTTACAAGTTCTTGAAGATATTTTGAAACTAAATGGTTATGGTGAAAATACATATTTTTGCTAGTTTCCCCTCAAATACTAGCCATATATTTTTCTTAAACATTTTGTCAAACAATCTCAAACAATGTGGAGATTAACGATTATGGTATGATAATCTAAAAATCCATTGAGAGTAAATTACATAGTTGATGAAGTTCTAAAAATATTTGAATGTACATATCAAATGATATTACTGTATAACAGCGTGTCTGATACGGTCACTGTACCTTCAGAAAGTGCTTTATGCAGTCTATTTTCTCTGTAAAGGCTGCTCGTGCAGCATCTGCATTGGCAAGCATAGAAGTAATTGTCCCAACCACCCAGCCACAGTAAAGAGCTCCAGCCATCATTAAAAAGGTCATAATTATTTGCTGCGTGAAGAGAAATAAAACGTTTTACCTTCTGCATTTTTTTCTGAGTAAAACTAGTGCATAAAAATGTGCAGATATCCTGTAATAATAATCATAATCATTTTTAAGACATTAATTTGAGCTTTTATAAATACTTAAGGGATATATCTATTGATGAGGTATTAATAATGCATTTATCTGGAGAACACAGTTAATATTAACCTACATTTAAAACATAATGACATACTAGTGAAAAAATATACTGAGCATCAAAAAGGCAACAAATTCACAAAATCGGGGAAAAAATTATTCTGTAGCAGTTGTTCATGTCAGCATGCTGGTTAACATGTCACAGCAGTGATGATCACCTGGGGCTCAATGGTAGTGCGTGGCCCCTGCTGGAGTCAGCTCAAACTGAGGTCTATGTCTCATGCTTTGGAGGGGGCAGCAGAGGAGCCCAGACCTCTGTGAAGATGACTGTGACTCATGCTTTGTGTCAGGTTAAAGATGTTGTGTTGTTGGAATCTCTCCTACCCTGGGCCATTGTATAAGTCCCAGGACTTGATCAATATAGCGCCCTGCCATCAGGCTGCCCTTGATCACTACAGGTAGGGTTCGGTGGGGACCAGACACATAAACAGTTAGCATAATCGGTCCTCTGTGAAAATGAGTCAAGCTTGTGTGTTGACCACCCTGATGGACATCAGTAAGTGTGGCACAGATCTGCTAACTGTAGAGTACAGCTGACCACTGACAGGGAGGTTCTAGTGTGAACATTTGGGCAGAAGTGTCTGTTCCCCACCGAAACCCCACCTGTAGTGAGCAAAGGCAGCCTGATGGCAGGGTGCTATATTGATCAAGTCCTGGGGTTCACACAAAGGCCCAGGGTAGGAGAGATTCCCACAGCACAACATCTCTAACCAGACACAAAGCGCGAGTCACAGTCATTTTCACAGAGGACCAGGCTCCTCTGCTGCCCTGTCCACCAGCCTCCAACTATAAAATGGGATGAAGGTGCTGTTCTCTTAAAAAGCATAACATATTTATTCATTCAGGTGTGACATTTGACATTCGACAGGGCTCAATATTAAATCTTCAACTACACCTAATCCACTCTTCCATTAGTGAGGTCCCTCAGTGCTTATGTCAAGCAACAGTTAAAGTTGCTTAAGTGTATCAGTCACAAATGTTCAATTAACCAAAATGACACTATAATAATTTAACATTTACATAATACATATCTAAAATCCATCAGCTTCATTTTTTAAAAGCATGTACTATATGTGCATAAACAGAGTGATACGTTTCTTTTGTTGCTCATTATACACGACATGTGTACTTCAAACAAATTAGTCTTCTTAATTTAGCTAGTATTGCCAGTAGGACCCCCCAAGGCCAGGATATTCTATGCCATTCAAGTGTCAGGTAGGCACTAAAACACACCTGTTTAACTCACACTGTACATGTTTCAATTTAATCCTCAGACTCATGATATTTCTCTCTTTGTAGGTGAAACCCGGGAATCATTTTAACAAACACATTTGATAATGCAGATACCCAGCCACATAATGATAAAAGTGCTTTACAATAAATCAATACGTATTTTTTCATGAGACACCTTTAATTTAGGAACAATTTCTCTGCAATCTCCACAAGAATCTGCTTTATCTGATTAAATCTACTAAAGTTTCCCTATGACTGTCTTACTGTAGAAAGGAGGTAGGGATGAACATCACCATATCCAACTCCACAAAGAGTTGCTGTCGCAAAGTAAAAACTTGTTACGTAGAGTTTACTAAAGCCGACTGTGCCTGGGGAGGAAAAAAAGAAACATGTAAAGCATTCTACAGTACTGGGATACTTTTAATATGTATGTTACTTAACAAGTGTAAACCTGTGATACGTAATTATTTTATTTTTTTCTTTTTAATTCCTTATCACAAGTTAACATTAGCTCAAACTTTGTAATGTGTCCAAAGTAACTAGGATGTTATTCATAATATAGCTTAAAATGAAAATTGCTGTTCTATGAGCACATTTAACTACTAATTTCAAAAGGTTTAAACCAGTTGTTTTATGGCATAGAAACTGTAAAAACTGGTTCACTTACCATAATCGATGGCGTACAATGTGTCCAAATGTGTCACCCAAGAATTTTTAGTGCAATTATGCTTCAGCACTGGCAAAATGTATGTTGTGCTTTTACTGGTGATGTCTGTAATGGGAGGGCATACAATTGCAAACCCAATGCAAGTGGAGAAATGAAGAAAAAGCACGGAATACATAATGAACTGAAGCATAGTAACTGCCGTCTTTTCGGTAGCAATTCCAGACTGCCAGAACTTAAAGGCAAGTGGGACACGATACAGCTGCAGGATATGAGGGGCTCTGAAGTATGCATACATGTGCATTGCCTTGTCGTTGGTATAAAATTTGTGCTTTTCATCAAATGGAGAAACCATCATCCAGCCAAACACTTCCCAGGGGAAGCAGCTGATGAAGTCGATTAGAAAGCTGGTTTTCATATAGTGCTTGGCTGTGTTCAGTGTGTCCACTTTCAGCTTGCTGTCTTTGTAGAAGCCCACGTGTAAACGTATATACATGTCAATCCAGCAGAAAGCCCCAAGAATGTAGCAAATAATCCACAGTGGCTTTTTAAAATGCAGGAATGAGATAAGGAGAGAGGTGAGAATGCTGACGGATATGGCTAAAATGATGCGGAAAAACTCCCATCTGATGTAACGTGAATCATTTGGCATGATGGCACTTCTGTAACAAAAACAAAAATTAAACAAAATTAATTAAAAAAATGAATGTAAACAAACTGAATTTCTCTTTAGTGAAAGCAGGTTTACCGGAGTTTTGAATATCTGAAGTAATCAGTTCAATCCGTTGATATTCAATTCTTAGAGTGCCAATTCAATGCGAGTTCCACATCACTGCCCCATTATACATAAGGGTGAGCAATACATATGCATGCTGATACTGCAGTTTTTGTGAGCTCAGTGCATGTAACACACATACCATAAATGAAGACGTTCATGGCTGTAGTGCCCTAGGAAATGAGCCAGTGTGCACTTGTTTACAAACAACTGCCTGTGCCATATTAAAGAACAGTGAAAAAGAAAATACTGTACTTGCACAGAAAATGGATTTTATTTTTTTATACCCATGTCTGCTGCACACAGTGTTATGCAATTTGCTAAATATTCAATTTTAAGAAACATTAAATATGACCTTCCCAGTCTATCAATATCACTGCCTTTTTGGATGTAATTTATTGAAAAGGGCAGACACACTATACAAGAAGATGGCTGAGTCTTTTACAACATGCACTTTAAAATTAAAAGTGGGAGAAACTCTACTTACCGCAATAAAAAGATCTGTGGAAGTGTTCTACAGAAGAGCATCTGAAGTCTCTCTCTCTGTGTTCTGAAAATAAAATGGAAATAAAATTAAATGCACATGAAACCCTTTTGGTTCCTATTTCACTACAGGAACGGCTTTGAGAGCTCTAGTTTAACTATATAGTTAACATACAGTATAATATTATCTATATCGCACCCTGATTTCAATGACATATGCAAAAAATTGTCAGATGGGAAAATACTGCAGTTCATGCATCAGTACATCACACGTTGTGAAAGTCTTAGACATCTTAGACACCATCAGGAGCTACAATTTATGTATGTTATCGGCATCAACAATTTATTAATATCCACAACTAGTGTTATCCACTGTTACAAGAATTCTGGCTTATTACATCAAAACTGTTAAGTGTGGGTGAGAAGAGACCCATCCTGTCATCTAATCTACACTGATCAGAGTCTCTAAACACCCGATCACAACACCTGAAGGTAAACTGCAAATAAGATAGTATTGTTAATCTACAGTAGCTATTAATCTCATTTCCCAATCACATGTAATTGACTCATTGTAACTGCACGTGTGGGCTCACCACCCGCAAGGTGAAGGATGAGTGTCGAGTGATGGGCATGAGCAGGACATGCTGTATCTGGACTGACATGTACATAGAATGTACATACCAAAAAAGAAGAAACCTATTCTATGCTGTGGGTGGACTCGATTATTTGTTAGATGAGATCAGATTACTTTGAAAAGAAGAACTGAGCCGCAGTCTGGTGATCAAGATACCTGGAAGCCTTTTCCATTGGTATCCTGTTTTTAATGGTGATTTCCTTTTGTCTTATTTATTATAATTTGGACTTCAGAAATTGTGCGATGTATTCTCATCCTAGTGTTTGAAAAACCTATTCTGACACTAATGTAACAACAGTAATAACAGTAGCTATTAAGGAAATAGTCTATATAAAAGCCTCTACAGTTTGAAATGCCTGGCAAAAATAGATGACAGAGTAAGTTTATTCTGCTCTTCAATGTATATAATTGTATAACTGGTACTGTAACATCATGTTCCATTAGATTAGATGGGTAATCAATCTTGGTACCCTTGACACCCTGCCGCTGCAAGTCTTTAATAGCATAAATGCAATATTTTGAATTTTATATTTTACTGTGTGAAGTTTGTATGTTCTCCCCATGCTTGCATAGGTATCCTCTGGGTGCTCTTGGACTCCAAAGTCGAAAGACCTACAGTACATGTAGGTTAACTGGCTCCTGGGAAAACTGGCCCTGGAGTGAGTGTGTGTGTATTTGTGTCTGTGTGCCTGAGAATGGACAGGCTGTATCCTGCCTTCACCCACTGCTTGCTGGGATAAGTTCTGGCTTCCCTCAACCCTGAAATGAATAAAGTGATTAGAAAATGTATACAATTTTTATCACTTATGTCTGAAATGTGTCAACTTACTTAGGTTTGCGTGGTATCAGTCTCGTCTTGCTGAGCTTCTCTAGTTTTTCTGTAATAGATTCTTCTTCAGATCCAGCATATATTGGGAAGTTACCAAAGTCCTCAACATCTGATAAAATAAAAGGTTACTCCTATTTATTTATGATCTCCAATAACATTTAATTTCAGTCAATTCTAAAGAATAGCACTTTGTAGAATTATCAACAAAACACAAATCTTTCCATGAGATCATCTGTATTATTTTTGCTTGTATGGATTTATGGTTCTCTACCACAGTAACCATAGTGAAAATATTTTAGTGACATAAGAAAGTGGTATTAAAAACCCTGTATTTTATGAAAATGGCAATTCCTTGGAGAAATTTATTAGACATATTATATTACATATTAATTTAAAATGAAATAAATTACATATCCAAACTAATACACTCAGATTGTGATTAATGCTCAAGGCAGTGATTATAGGTGGAGTAGTGGTTAGGGTGTCAACTGTGTAACTGAATGTTTCTGGGTTCAAATCCCAGGAGAGGCACTGCAGTTATACTTCCAAGAAAAGTACCTCAACCTAGTCACTCCCCTAAAGTCATCATGTGTATAAATGGCTACAAATGTAAGTCTGAATAAGTCAGACAAATGGATTTGTAAAAATATGTTTTTATTCTATTTTTATTTAGCTCATTTATTAAACACTGACAAATATTTTATTTTCATTCAGTTACTAATTATTTTCTGGTCAGAATACTGTTTTGAAGACAATTATTTCAATATTTTAATACAACTAATACAGATTACAGAAATACCCATTTCTGAATTTTTCAGAAAACATGATTTCCTGAACAGGAAAAAATAATGGTGAACTGTATACATCTGATCTCTCATGTAAGTGAAAAATTAACTGATACATTTTTCAAAAGACAGAAACACAACCGCAAAGGACTTAAAGCACTCTAAGGTAACTCACAGCATTTGGACTTTTTAAAATATCGCCGGCCTTGATATTCCAGAGAAGCCTCCTTTTTTTTTACAGCCGTGGCTTCCTCACCAGTTTTTTTCTGTGTCTTTCTCATCATTAAATCCACTTGCTTCACCAAGCACTGGAAAAATGCTCTGTTATCTTGCAATCTTTCAATCTGACTGAAAGAGAACAAAAATCGAGAAAGGTCTAGTTGCCAATCTAAATATTACCAAAACACCCATATGAAATGGTATCAGAATAAGGTTTTTAGGCATTCAGTGACCACACAGGAGTCACGGTACAGTGATTATTATGGTTTTTGGGAGTGAGGAACGAGCTGCAAAGCCATGTTGTTGGAGCTGACACGCTGGCGTCTTTCAGGAAACAGCTGGATAGGATCTGTGTGGTGTGCTGGCTCTGTGGCTAAGGATCTGTGCCTGTGGTTGGAAGGTTGCTGGGTCAAATCCTGTGGCTGGCAGAGCTGTTGGGCCCCTTAGCAAGGCCCTTAATCCAAACAATCTCTTAGCTACCAAGCACCAGATGGGCCAAATGGTCTCTTCTCCTTTGTAACTGTTCTTATGATCTTACTATACAAGCAGTGTTTAGCACAAGGCAAATAATCTTCAAAATGTCCATGCAAAATTCAAATAGAATTTTCCCTCTTAAGCAAGAGTGACCTGCATCTAGATTTACTCTTAAAAAATTAATGCCATTACCTTTTGATAGGTGGATACTTGTCAAGAACTGGTTTAATTCTGTCAAAGTCAATAACCAAAACTTCACAGTATGTTTTCGCGCGGATTGTCATTGTGGCTGGTTTTCCAAATAAGAATCCTACCTGAACAGCAAAAAACACAAAAAATTTAAAAGAAAAGGTGATGACATCAGTAACATGAAGAAATTAATTAAGTTGTACTAAAAATTGCCTATGGTTAACTGTCAATGAAGTTTTTTGGGAAAAGCTTTAAATTTCTAAGCCCAATTTATATTCAGATCAACTAAAAATATTTAAACCTACTGTACAGTATAAGATTATGTAAGATCTGCCATTCTTTAAGCGTGCATGTCTGGCAATGTCTAGTACTGCAGGCAGGTGAAATCAGGAAAACTGTGGGAATCATGAGCCCCTCATGACTGTGGTGAATAGAAAATTCACTTGACACAAAGAGACACAAAGAGGAATCCTACTCTGTTGGGCCCCTGAGCAAGGCCCTTAACCCCAGCTGCTCCAGGGGTGCTGTATGAATGGCTGACCCTGCACTCTGACCCCCACCTTCTCTCCCTGTCTGTGTGTCTCATGGAGAGCACATTGGGGTATGCGAAAGGACAAATAGGTGCTATATAAAATAAAGTTTTTTATTATTATTATTATTATTATATAAATAATAATACAAGAAATTGTATATGGCCAATAAAGCGATCTTATCTTAACAGAAAAAATTAAGAAGCATGAATGATACTGTACCTCTCCAAAATACATTCCTTCTGTGTAGAGACCCAGAATATCTGAGAGATCATCGTTTAAAATCTGCAGGAATAAAAACATCAAGACGTGAAGCTGATTGAGGACATGCAGACCATTGTTGTGATGCATAACATCTATTTTGTAACATAATTCGAATTAGTCCAGCATTATGTCAGCTCCAGCTCTGGGGGAAAGTCAAAAGAAAGTGCACGTGTAGCACCTGGACTGCGGTATTTAAGTCAAGGCTTTCTGTCTGTTCTGGAGAGGTTTCCATCCAGTTTTCATCAAAACTGAATAAATTTGAGACAGTCAGGTATCAGTTAAAATAGTGCAGATTGTAAACTGATATAGATATATACTACAGTCTAATAAAAGCATCTTTTGACCATTAGAGCAACAGATGTTGCATTTTTACAAGTTACATTAATTGCTGTCATTTTACACTACAGCCAAAAAACATGAAAAAGGCAAAAAAAGGGACTTCTAATAATGACAATAAAGTTAAATTCACAAACTTGACAATCATTTAAGAAAAGTGAAATTCCACATCTTCTATGTCTGAATTCAGACATACATGTAGTATATCGCAGACCTTCGAACTGTCCTATTCAGATGCTGTTCATAACTGCATAGAAATGATTCACACCTGACACATCCCTCTTCGAATGCAGAACAGCTCACGGGTGATGGTTTCACTGTACTGGATAATCTCTCCTCGAGGATAAAAGTACATCATAGAGATTGCTGCAACATCTCGAAGGAATGCAGATCCAGCTTGTTCAAAATAAGGAATCTTTGAAAGACAATGAAAAAAACCTGCACATCAATTACAAACATGCAGATCATCTGTGTAATGTGAATTAATCTATAAAACTCCACCATAAACTGTTCGTATATTGTGAAATGCATGTAGCATGCACAACAGTTACTAAATACAGTGCAATCACTTACAAATACATCAAAATAAACTTATTTGAAGAGGGGGGTATAACAAAGTCTTATTATAGACAAAGCTATTTTAAAACTTCTGAGTCCAACCAAGAAATATTTGTTAAATGTGGCAACTATTGGAAAATATTGTCCCAGCTCTTTTGAATGTGGTTCAGATACATGGTGTACCTTGGACAAAAGCTTCCCTCTCTCCTTCATGAGTATAATATGCTTAAGTTCAGTGGGCAGGTCATGCATCAGAAAAGGCCCTCCTGGATATGCCTGTCCTCTGGAATAAAAATCCAAACTTTTTAACATTTCTCCTAAACTGCAATATATACAGTGTGGTGAAAAGGTAAGTACACATACTTAAAATTTTATGGTTTAACATTTTAAAACATATTTAAATTTCACCTAGTCCTCACCAAGTCCTAACGGTAGATTAAAGTAACCTTATTTGACAAATAACTCACAAAAATTCTGCTTTGTCATTTTTCTTTAAAAAAATCCTCCAGCACTCAAGATCGTTGTGTGAAAAAGTAAGTGCACCTTGCCTCAGTAATTTGTGGCACTTCATTTAGCAGCCATAACTTAAATTGCATGTTTCCAGTAAGAGTTCATCAGTCTCTCACATTCCCTGGAGGGAATACTGGCTCGCTCTTCCTTACAGAACTGTCTCAGCTCTGTGATGCTTGTGGCCTTTCTTGGATGCACAGTCTTCTTTAGGTCCCGCCTCAGCATCTCTGCGGGTTTTATAACTGAACATTGACTACTTGGAGAACAGTGGTTTCATGGAAGGATAGCCAGAGGTAACCTCTGTTCTCCAAGCAGAACATTGCTGCACAGTGTATGTTTGCAACACATCCCTTGAATGAAAAACAAGACTTCTGCAACAACTTGCTGCGGACAAATGAGTCAAAAGGGAGTTTGCAAAATATCATGTTAAAATAAACCTATTATGTGTCTCCAGCTCTGACTGAAAGAGCAGCACTACCACTGACCAGGTGAAGGTCAGATATGTCTAAATATGTTAAACTGTAAAATCTTAAGAAGGAGTACTTACTTTTTTACCTCACCGTATCTATCAATAAGATACTGGACAAACCTGTCACTTCTCTATATACACCTCAGGTCCATTTTCTCCCCAGGGGACAAAGATTTCAAAACAATTAACAATTATTTTACATTTTCATATTTCAAAACGCTTCAGTAAGGATAACTCCCAATTTAATCCTTAAAAAATCACATTAATTCCTGCAACACTACTCTGATTTTCTGATTGTAGGCATAATATGTAAAAAAGGAAATTCCTAAGCAAATTTTTTTCCATAACTTACTTATATTTCTTCCACAGCAGACTCATGTAGTCAATAACCCTTTGCTGCAGAGATTGACTGAGATCGTGTGCTTCCATGAATTGGGTCACTGCATTAAGGTGGTTCTGAAACGTCACTCTAGAAAATTTTTTAAACATTTGTTTAGTTGTATGTAGTAGATTCTCTTACTATGCTACATATTTCTGTGTGACATTCACTCTCTCCTGATCAAAGTGTCAATATTCCTCAATCATACAGAATATACAGTAGACTGACAGACTCAAATAATGGTGTATAGTTCTAACAATCTGGTGTCAGTCAATGTGGGGTCTGAGCTTCTTGAATTCTTAACTTGCATACTGATTACTTTCATCTTTCCATCTCTGCCTTTCAAGTATGCTTTTACGTTGCTTTCAATACTGTTCAATAAAATCTTAACACCTTTTTATTTCACTGATAATGTCCTCAGTTATCAAATTAGATAAGTAGATACGTTATAAAATGTAGATCAAACAATAAAGTTAAGAAGAGAAAAATAGTTTTTGAATATGATATATGCAGTATACTGAATATATTATGGACAGCTACAGTAATGCCAAGGCACTTGTATAAGGAGCAGTTTTTCTTTCAATAGAATCATCTACTAGAAGCATCAATATAGTCTTTAGCCTTTAGTAGAGGGATCATATATATAGAAACAAAAGTATTTGGGGGGTATACAGAAACTGAGCAGCAGTGATGTGCTGCATAACTGGAAGGTGTCAGCCATGATGTTTCATAAGGATTAATGGAACAAAAGTATAAAAGCATGATTGGCTGAGCATTCTTTAATTAAATTAGCTCCTGTCTATTACCGTATTCTCAAGATACAAAGCCCTTTTTCACTGTGCCTTAATTGGGCTCCTGTATTTCTACTTGCCCTATAATTGTCCTTCATTAAAAAGGCACTCTCCTGCAAGATTTGAATTGCAATATCTCACTAATAAATAAAACAAAACATTTGATTTTTATTCTGGACTTATCCTTTTTCTTTTTTAATAGTACTTTATATCTTCTGTGGCAGTGTTTAAAGTCTTTCTTCTTCTCCATCTGTCCAGAATGCTGAATATACGTAAACCATAAGTCAGCATTTGCATGGAGCAGCTAGGGGCTTCACCAAGTGCTGGGGATTAAGGCATTGGACCGACTTCAGCAACTGTCCACAACATATACTGTATACTGTATATACGGTATATTATATTAACTGAAAGGCACTAAACTGCAACAAATTAGTTTTGGAAGCAGGAACATTCATTGTGTTTTGATGCCTTGTTTCTAACAGCTTATGTAGGAGGAGGAACTGCCCCAAAAGATAGTTTAGATAAACAGGGTAAGATCATAAAGAATAATTAGGCACAAACTTTACATAAAACGAAAACAGACTCTCACCTTGCGGCATTGGTACTTGCTAATGTGGCACAGATTTGGCTAATAATGTAGTTGAAAACAAATAAGCCAGTAACACACACAATGACACACACAAGTCTCTCGGAAACTGTGTAGGCTGTAATATCACCATATCCTGAAAAGAAAAAGCTGATTATAAAATAAATACAATTTAAAGGCAATCTGCAGTGTTTCACCTGTACCTTGTCCCTCAATCCCCACCTGTGTTTGTCATTGTAGTCACAGCCCAGTAGGCAGAAGTCATGTAATGGTAAAAGTTAGACTGGTATGCCTTCAAGCCATTATACCAAGCCCAGGATTGTGGGTCACACCTGAGGAGAAATCACAGCTAAGTGGCTACAAAACTGTGTCTTAGTCAAAGCTAAACATGGTGACAATCTCCTGCTTCTGTACCTCTCCTAATGAAACTCTGAAGCTGTAAACTTGTGTTCTGTCAATGTACATATTTACAAAAAAATATATTGATCGTTATAATGGCACCTTTAATATGTTATTGCCCATAATGTTATAAATGTCATTATACTTTGTTTTATAATGAGTATGAATCACAAAAGGGCAATATTGTATGCTGAATAGAAAAGATGCCACTTAATAATCTCATTGTAATATATGGAGGCACTCTGTAGTTTATTATTAGCACTAGATTAAAGTATTGTCATGCAAAGAGGAAACACAATAAAGGCATGGTGAATCACACAGAAGTACAGTAAAGCATGATATTAACTGCAGAAAACCAGGGAAAAAGAATAAAGGTTTCAGATGGGAAGAACAAAATATTCTAGAAAATAATGTGGAAAACTATACCATAACTTTATCTTTCAGTCTGAGCTGGAAAAAAAAAGAGAAAAAATTGCCTTCTAATATTTTAAAGGTACTTCAAGCAATACTTGCATTTATTACCTGTTATAATAACAGCCTTGCAGATAATAGATACCTGCACAAAAGTGAATGGAAAATACCAAGAGAAAGACACATTTTGCTGTCCTGTATTCGATCAAATTCTTGTCCAGGTCATTTTCATTTTTGGAGAAAAATAAGAATACCTAAAGTGCACAAGTCAAAACATTTTGTTCAGATCATCTTATTTGAACACAGTAGCTATAACATAATTAATATATACTTTAAATTCTGTGAACTATGTTGCCCAGCACAGCCCAAAGAGAGAAAGGAGCTGGTGAAGAGATGGTTGGGTGACCAACTAATTTCTAAGATCTAGATGGGACTAATTGACTCATCCCTCTTGTGACCTTACGTATCTTATTAAATATTATGTAAACCTACATATATTTAGAATATTTCTGGAGGTCAAAGGAGATCCAATCTCACAGGAAGGCAGAGCAAAATGTAAGCTACAAGGCATCTATGTCACAGTTTTAAAACTGATCGTGCCAAGGGATGCAAAACATTATTTCAATCAATTTTCCTTCAGAAGGATTTTTCATGAAGAGGTTTCAAGTATTCCCTTGTCCTGGGATGGGTGAACTTCCCATTAATTTTCTACTGAATGGAAACACTTGACATTAACTGTACTCTATAGGGTATATTAATTATATGAATATATTAATTTCAAAACTAAGGTGAAATCATCCAGTAACAAGCATTACAGGAGTATCATTTCCTCTGTTCAAGCACTTAGGGTTTCTGTACTTGTCATGTATGAAAAATATAGACATAACCTTTCGGATCCAGATTAGTCGGTTCAGTCGAAACAGTCCCAAAACATTCCAGTGGGGGTTGCCACTGCTTATAAAGGAGAACACATCCATGGGGAAAACAGCAAACATGTCATAGTAGAGGCTCCCAGACTTACGGTAGTGACTGAAAATGCTTTTAAAGTCTGATAAGTAGCCTATATGAAAAATAAAAAAAAGAATTAGTTAAAATGTTTTATTTTACAATTTCCTCAACATCAATGAAAAAGTGATCTTCCCCACTATCATGGTATTTCCTCTGGACTGATATTCCTACTGTAAATGTATGCAGTTCCAAATGAAATTAATGTCATGTGACAAGTTCGTATGTGTATCTTTCTGAAGCTGATATACTGTATTTATGTGAAGGAACAAGCAATAGGTTTATTCAATGCTGAAAAAAAGAAGAAAGAAAACACAATGTTTTGGCCGTTGAGCCTGTGTTCTCAAAGACGTTTTCCATGTGATGGCCATGACCACTCCAATCTTTCCGTCTGTGTTCTCAAAGACGGTTTTCCGAACATCAGAAAGACTACAGAAACCAAACACCCCCCTGTTCGTCTACCAGCCCAGTTCCCAGTCTTCTCTCCCCTGTCTCTGTTTCACTCCCTTCCGGATTCTATCATCTGCCTGGGGTCCTGATTAACGCTTCTTGACACACCTTTCGTATGTTCCTATGTGATGTGCATGCCTAGTTAAATATCCGTGTGTGAATACTGTACATGCACGTGCGTCTTCTACCAGGCCAAAATCTCAGATATGCCAACAGCGCAAGCATGACAAAGACAAATAGTGAGTAAATCTCAGTATTTTGTTTAGGTTAGTAGATTTAATTTTTTAATGATTGTTCCTACAATCATTTCAGTTAGTGCTGAAAAATACATACATACTTAGAATTATTGTAGTACACAGTACATAAATTAAAGGTCAGTTGATTCTATTATTCTCTTTTCTTTCTCTAGTGTTATTGGTAACACTTAAACAGATAACGCATGGCTGTACACTGTCACCCACATGTTGACCTTACCATCTTTTGAAGGGACTTGCATCCGAAAGTTGATGAAAATATCCACAACAGCTACAATATCCGCTATACTTGCTAAAGTAAGAAAAAGTGCACCCCAACCTCCGCTGAAATATCCTGGAAAAGCAAAAGATTTTGTGATAAAGTCACTCAGATTTGTTTTGGATTTTCTTCTCCTTCAGAGGCAATTTGTTATGCTAAGAAGTGATTTAATTTAGTATAACCATTTTTGTGACATTACATATTTTATATGACATATAAAAAGTTATACTGACTATATTGAAACTAAAGTGTACTGTGTAAGTACATGTCATTGAGAAGATATAAACTAATTATTGCTAATTTCAATAAGTACACCTTACGATTAACTCTCTAAACCCACCCTGCCAAAGAGCAATACTCTCACAGAACATTACTTTAAAATGGGTGAAAAAGTGAGAGAGCTCATCACAGTGCGTAGAGACTGAAGAAGGGGAACAATTGCAGAGATGAATAAATCCTGCAAAATCCTCCTCTGACCCCCAAAATAACATCACTCTTCAGGATCAGCAGCTAGTTACTAACTTCAGCTGAAAAATCAAAAACTAAACTAAGAAACCCTTTGATCGCACTTGATTAGTGTCATTTGCAGAATGTATGTGTATGTAGAAGTATGAGTAAGTTATACTTTACTTATTGAAAAAATGAAAACATAATCACATTCTTTTTATCTTAAAATGGTTTTCATTTTGATGTTAGTTATTATAATCTTGTGAGCTCCCAAGGTTTGCATGTGTTGTCTTAGGAAATTGATCTACTTTAAAAACAAAAAAAAGATTTTAAAATGGATTCTGTTACGTATATAAATATTTCCAAAATGATGCTTTAACTGTCTTTGTGGCCCTCTATTTACGCCTTTGCAAAGGAAGCACTTAGTAACAAAAAGTGGTAGATCAAAGGGAAATAAAATTAGATTAAAACAGCACATAACTGTCATTCTAGGAAACATTAGATTGTATGTTGATTATAAATCAATTATTGTCATGACAAATTACAAACCTATTGTTTCTGCATTGTTGGTAAAGAGCACCACCCAGCTCTCTATGAAAATTGAAATGGAAATGCACCAAAATAAGACAATTTCCCATTTTTTGGCAAATTTGCTGTCTGGTCGAATAGTTTTACTCCAAAATGGCTGAAATCACAAAAACATCAACAAAAGATCATGCTACAAATGCTTCTAAAAGACAAATTACACAAAATGGAAGGCTTTCAGTTTTACTCCACAGTAGCACTTGATTTCTAAAAACACGTCACAGGTGAAAAGCACGAGCACAAGACACCACACATGTTGGAAAACAAAATAAAATGAATCATTTGGAACACAATTTTATCATTAACTTGGATGAGGTGCAAACAAGATTGCACTGGTGAAAAAGCATTAAAAAACATATTTGTACCGCATTAAAATTCACTGATGGCAACAAAAATCCCTTTGATAAAAATGTGTTTCTTTCATTAAATGTTGAGTTTAAACAAATATTTGGGTAAGATAACAGCAGCAACATTCAACTGCCTTCAGCTGTCCTATATTGCAGTCATTCCCGATGTCACTTCCTCATGTTACAAACTTAAAATACTATATCAGCCGCTATTTTTCCTTTGTATTTGCCTGCTGCATCCCTCCTCAAGCCCTTCCCCAGTTGTGCAGCTGCCCATTGGTCACTCATCACTCTGCCGATGGGACCCAGCCTGCACCCTGCAACCAGGGAGCTGGCCCTCAGCCGAGCAGGTTAAGCCCAATTGACATTCAAATGTACACATTTCAATACAATTAATTCTGGGGTGTTGGTTTCCCCAGCGAAAAGAAGGCAGCAACAGATAAACCTGAAATTAAAGAAAAAACACAGATCTGAGCGTTCAAGCTGCCTCACCTTCGAGGATTCTGAAGTTGTTTTCACAGAAGCAGGAAATGCCGCCGAGTGACGCGCAACATAATCCAGGAACAGGTGGAACAGCTTCCGATCCCTGGGCTGGAAAACGGAGAGCAGGCCTTCAGCACAATTGTCATCCAAGTGCAGGTCCTTCAGCCAATCCATGCAGACTGCACTCAATCTCAGGCAATCAGGGTGTGCAAATGCTGACTTGTGTGCTGTGTCACTTTATGCCAGAAAAGGTGTTTTTGCTTATTTTAAGCAATGTTTGCACAGCACCGGAGGATTGAGGAATAGCTACAGTCATATACAGGGCAGCACAGTGGTGCAATGGTTTGAATTCATGCCTTAAAGCACTGCCGCCCTGGGTTAAATTTCCTGGGTGCTATCGGTTTGGAATCTGTATGTCCTACCTATTTTTCCCCAGGGGCTCTGGTTTGCTCCCACTGCCAAAAGGCATACTGGTATGTAAATTGGCTTCTGAGAAAATCTGACCCTGGTGAGAGTGTCTGTGTGGCCCTGAGAATCCAGTCCAGGGTGTATCCTGCCTTGTGGCCATTGATTGTTCCCCCGTGACCCTGTATTGGATGGAGTGGTTAGAAAATGGATGAATATATATCTCTATAGTAGGAAGGCTTGAAGGCTGGCTGTTATGGGGTTTAAAAAGATTCCACTCCACGGCTGTCACATTCGTACCAGTCACTTGGGTCAGCGTGAAGTTACATTGTCATCACACTGTCCTACAGAAAACAGCAGATGCTTGAGGAAGGACAATAAGATCCAGTCTTTAGAGCAAATGCCGAGATAAACACTGTGTACAGTAACTGGTTCATACTGTACAGTATGTATCTTACCATGAGGTTAACCGCCAGATCCTTGTGAAATATCACATTATGAGGATTCGATGCAACTCCAATATCAAAGGCGTGCTTTATGGGGTGGGCAATGTTTCTCAATCTTCTCCTTGCTGTGCGGGAAATCTTTACACCAGCTGCAGAAAACATAAACACAGCTACTTATCATTGCAAATAAGCTGTTCTAACACATGATGCTTTACTTGCTACAGGAGAACCAGAATGTTGATTTAAATGTCATGCTTCCGGTATAGTCTTTCAAAAATATTGAGCCAATGAACACCACTACTGATGCACAGATTAGTGTAATGTGACCACCTCCAAACGTTTAATTGCTTGCTTATACAGTAAATATAAGTACACAAATGGCTTCTTTGTGAATAGTTTAAAAAATAATATTAAAACTATTATAATTAGTAATATAAAACAAAAAAAGAAAGTTAATCAGGAGGAGAATTACACTCACCTTCAGGAAAATCTGCAAATAAGGCAAGGAGGTCCTTCCGCTCTAGGATACAAACCTCACACAGGGTTGCGGCACAAATTGTGACGTTTCTTGGAATTTTGTACATTAAATACACCTTGGACAAGAATGAATTGACAACAGCATCAGAGGAATTACTGCCAAGAAATACATTTCTTGAACAGCTCAAAAAGACTTCAAGAATTCATTTGATATAGAACCGTAATGTGAGAAACAAAATTAACAGAAACACATTTCAGGGAGCTCAGCAGACCAACAGTGCAAATACTGGGAGTATATTGGCAGTTTTGTCCTGTGAGTTAACCCCTGTGAACAATCTTTACAACCATTTATGCAAGTGACATTACAGGCACACAATTATTCAGAACGATTGTAACAAAATGTACTTTCAGCAAAAAAGCTAAGAACAGGACGCCAGGCAGAGAGAAGTCAGGTGAAAGTGATGGAAGACACCATTAAGGACTTGAGAGCTGAAAGGAAGTGTCTGCATATGCAACTCAGTAATAGTGATCCTGGTACATTTATGTAAAGTTGTACGTTGTTGTACAGTTCTTATACATACTGTTACGCCATTTTGTGTAGTGTTCATGAAGGAGTTCCGACAGCGATTTGTAACATCATTCAAGTGAAGAGTTACCGGTGTTTGTCAAGAGTAGGTCAGTCATCCAACACTGGGACTATGTCAAGGTCAGGAGGGAGCTTATATAAAGAGAGCCACAGAAAAACCTTTTCTTAACTAACCAGGAACTAGCCGAACGAAAACTATATCACATAGAGCAGGACAATTGTACACTTTCTTGCTGCTAGTGACTGCCAGACGTAAATATCTCATTAATAATACCTCTCCAATTAATGATCCAGGTAACAAGGTGGCCACTCTGTCACCACGGCCACCATCTCCAAAGACCTGAAAACATGTATTTCTAGGTTACTTTTGTAAGAAAAACATGTTTTAATATTGTATATGAGGCAAAAATAAGTTTTTTTTTGTTAGTGGTAACAAAGTTACCACTAACTAGCTGTTATATATGGATACATACTGTACATAAAACATAAAACCCAGCAAATGCAAAAACGTTAACACAAAATGAATCTCTCCTAGTACCTGCACAAGCCCATGCTGAACATAGTACATGGACTGACTGATTTCTCCAGTCTTTGCCAGAATTTGCCCAGTGCTGTACGTGTAGGGGTTAATTTTAACTGACAAAGCTCTTCTGAAGCCTTCATCAGTCCCTCGAAACAAAGTGGCCTGGAAGAAAAATGAAAAAACGATACAACACAAATACGACGCAAATGCAATGGAATCCATTCCTGTCCTTGCGTGTGTTTTGTAAAATAAAAAAACGAACACAAACTTATTTAATGTCCATCACAATATGTCCACTTTACTATCTGTCGTTTGAAAATGACACACAAGCCAGGGCAGAACTGTGGCGCAGCAGTTGGCATTGCTGCCTCACAGCGCTGTGGCCTTGTGTTCGATTTCTGGAGGGCTATCTGCGTGCAGCTTTCATGTTACCTCCTGTGTTCACATGGGTTTCCTCTGGAGGCTCCAGTTTGTTCCCACAGTCCAAAAACATACTGGTAGGGTAACTGGCTTCTAAGAAAACTGGCGCTGGTGTGAGTGTGTGTGTTTGTGTATACCCTGTGATGGATTGTACCCCTTATCCACTGCTTGCCGGGATAGGCTCTGGCTCCCCCACAACCCTGTATTAAAATGGTCAGAAAAGTACTCTCCACAGCGAAATCCAAAACCTTTTGAGAAGGCTAGCGTACAGATTCCAAATTTCCTCAGACGCAAGCGATAGAAAAAGTGCATTTCAGTGGTCATAAGAACACACTTTTAAGGCCTTACCTTCTTCATCAGTGGCTGATAACAAGCTGAAGCAATTTCTGAGCGGAGAGTGAAAGGAAGGTCGTCCAGTAACCCAGACACGATGCTCCCTTTCCGATGCTTCCACAGGTATATGTAATACTTGTACACCCATGCTTGAATTTCATCAGGCAAGCCAATGTCTTTCTTTAGTTACAAAATATATAGAAAATCAAACAAACGTAAAACAGCAAAGACATCTTGGAATTAAGGAAGAGGAACATTTACTATTAATTTGCATTTAAATATATTTGCATTTAAGAAAGAGATCACAATTTCTATTACTAATGATAATTAAGTTTAACCATTAGTTAAATTTCCAATTAACAAAAATAGCATTGTTACATTCAAATTAACATGGGAAAAATCGTTCAAGTTGGAATTTCAGGATAAAGCACTCTTTCCTTCTATAATACACTCCAAGATTTCATTTTCTCTAGAGGTTATAGTACGATGAGAACCAAATTAATACAGAGCTTAAGCTACTATAGGTTTTCCAATGGTAGGTCTGGAGCTACTGTATAACATACAAATATTAGAAGTTTCACATTGCTGACTGCTTAAAATCTAGAAATTCACTGCACTTCAGAAAGTTAGTTTTTGAAACTCCTTAATCAGAAATGAAAATTCCACCAGACATCTGAAATGGCCCTAATGAAAAGAATCCATATAATACCTACAGGTTTCCTCAGGGAACTGGGGGATTGCTATAGACAGAAACCTTCATGTTAGTTTCATAAGGTTACCATGTTGAATTTGATAGCCTCCAGTCGGTGGTAGAACCTTCCTCTGCGAGCATCGAGGTTTGTAATGATGGAGCTCATTCCAGTCATAACCATTCCAAAAATGGCTGTTAAACCGGTAATCATCACCAAAACCGACAGGTAGACTTCGCTAATGATCACTGGATGAATATCTCCGTATCTGCACACAGTAATCAGAATTCATGATCAGTAAGACACTCTACGAAAGCCGTGCAGCAATCTGGAGCCTATCCCAGAAGCTCAGGACATGGAAAGGTTGTGTTCTGAATGGGAGCCCATTCAAGGCACACACACAAGCAGGTCTACAGATACCACTTATCCTAACAAAAACGTCTTTGAGACACGAGGTAAATCAGAACGCTTGCAGAAAACCCATATGGGCATGTTAAGAACATGTACACTTCACACAGAAGGATCACCCAGGAAAAATGAACCCAGAACATAAAATCTGTGAGATAATAGCATTAACCATCTAGAAAGCCCAGAGTCTTGGTGAGGGCTTGAAATCAGTTCAGGGTTGGAAAAGGCCTCACGAAGGCTTATACAGTAGTTCAATTACAGAATTATACCACTCAGCTCAACATTCCTTAAAAATACTGCCATCAAGATGTTTTTTATTTATTTTACACCAACATTACACTCAAGTGTCTTAGAATAGTACATCCTCTTTAGGACTTTTATTAAAAAATATTTTTTTTCCCTCAGTCCTGCCAATCATGAATTATTTGTTGTGTAATTTCATGAAATATATACTGTACATTTACTCACCCTACTGCACACAGTGTGACTCCTGCCCAATACACCGAGGCAATATATAAGTCAAAATCACTGACCACGGATATATTCTTTGAAACTGTTGAAAGACATAGAAATGACTATGTTATCGGAGAATCCTTCTTCAGCCATACAATTATGCATTACACCATTGAAGCGATTTTTACCAGACAAATTCTGTACTTATCTAATTCAGATGTGAATAATATTTAACACAGTGCACATAATATCACTACTTCCTCCTTCACCTGTACCACACACATTTATCTTGTTTGAGGTGGGATTGATCAACAACACCCCAGTCAATATTGAAAGAATGGAATGGATAAAATGGACTAAAATGGATATTTGCCTTTCTTCATCAAGAAGTGATGTGTTTTATTTTAGTTTTTTATCTTCATACACATACCAGCACCATTGTCTTTAAAAATAATCAACTTTCTTAATGACAAAATGAGTCTATACTGTCCCATAAAAGATGATGTCAAAAAAAGAAAGATAACTTACAACGGGGTAACAACATCAACCAGGAATTTTCAAGGCAGACTCTGGCTTCAGAATGATGAACAGATGTACAAATCAAAGAAAACCTTTATAATGAAAGAGAGAAAAAATGTTTGGAAAAGGGCACTGCAAGTTTGAATCATTTCCATGGTGAGTTAAATAGCACCTCTTTGCATGCTAAGTTTCCAAATTGTTTCCAACAGACTTATTCAGAGCACATTGTAAACCACTGCATAGCCTATGAATATTAAGTAAACCTGGAGATCGACTAATAATCTGAAGAACAAGATGGTCTTGAAATGTAGAATTTAACTCCGCAATTTACATTTCAAATCACCCTTATTTAGCAACATTGCATTATAAAATGAAAAGGTATGATCTGTTCCATGTAAAAAAACTTTCCCTTTAAAAGTTCTTCTTACATTTTTGTAGTTAAACTAGAGCTGTCCCTACTGGTTTTACTACAGTACAACAGAATGTCGACCATGTAGTCATTGTTCATAAACTGGATCATGACAGGTGACCCCTTTCTGCTGTTAATTTATTACACTAGAAGTGATGTACACTGTAGACCATGAACAAATGAATTATCTAAAGTCGTGTCTGTGGACATTTTACAATCTAAATGAAGGATATTTACAGTGTAGCCTGTGAAATTCTTACTGCATTTTAAGCTTGTGATGTTATGATCTTAAGCAGCCAGTGGTTACATGAAAATAAAACAGGGACAACGGCTTACCAGGAACATGCTGCTACTTGGATACAGAGAACAATCACAACTATATAATTCAAGACAGCCATGTGAACCTTATTCACGTCTGGTTCTTTGCCAAGAGCCGCTAGAAATGAGAAAGGGAAACAAGTTTAGTGTAAACAAATCGCATTTTCTTCAGTGGTGTTACAATTACTTTTAAGAGCAAAACAATCTAATTAATAGAGGAGGAAGACTCAGCCCTTACACATAAAATTGAGCAACCTCCCAACCTTCAGAAGTCGATTCACGTGCAGAAAAGACAAAGATGGATAAGGGATTTTCACCAGCTCGAAGGGAATGATGCACAAAACGTCCACGATGAACCAGAACTGAAGGTATCGCTTCCGGATCTGGTTCTTATCCAAGGTGACCAGCCCCTGGTGCTCGAAGCCGATGTAAAAGCGGGACACAATGTTCAGGACGTAGATCGCGTCGAGGCAGTACTCGATGGCCACCAGCCAAAGCATGTTGGCATCGAAAGACACCTGCGCAGAAAGCAGCAGAGTGACCCCGCTACCCATCACAGCAGCTCAGCCTCCCTGAGGCCCTTTCCTGTCCTGCTCTGTTCCCATGCCCTCGGCCAGACTGGGCTTGGCAGATTAACTCCACGTGTGACATCTGCAATTTAAATCTAAATGAGTGTGTACTGTTCCTCCTACAGTCCCTGTACAGGACAGGTAACGCTACAGACAACTGTATCAGGAATCCCTGGAGGTTTCCTGATGCCATTTCCACTCTCTCCCCAAAAACCCACCACGTAGGGAGTCAGTCTAAAGACTACATTGATTGTTTAAAAACATTTCCACTCGTATCCTGACTAGAATTGGGCCATAACTGTAAAAACTATAAAGAGTCATTTTATAAAAGGAGGTTTATACAGTATGTGTTTACTGCTCCTCTAAAGAAGCTGCCAACAAAGACCAAAGCTCTGCCATGGAGAATTAACCTAGAGGGGCCTGACTATAGAGGGAACGACACACACACACATTTAAATTTAACTTCATCAGGCTAAATCCTTGAAACTTCAGTCTTCAAGGCCTGAGACCATAGCTACCCGTCAAAAATCATACAAGTAAAATCTTAACTTTACTTTAAGATTTAACTAATTTTACCAGCAGCCATATCACTCTGCAACTCACCACTGGCAACCCATTGAAGCTCAGCAGGTGTGAGGTGTGACCTCTTAGGACAAACTAAAGTTGCTGCTGGAAGAGGTGTTAGTGGGGCCAGCAGGGGGCGCTCACCCTGCGTTCCATGTGGGTCCTAATGGCCCAGTTTAGTGATGGGGACACTATACTGTAAACAGGCGCCGAGATGTAAAACTGAGGTCCTGACTCTCTGTGGTCATTAAAAATCCCAGGGAGTTTCTCGAAAAGAACCAGGACCAAATTTCCCATTGGCCCTTATCAATCATGGCCTCCTAATAATCCCCATCTATGAATTGGCTTCATCACTCTGCTCTCCTCCCCACTGATAGCTGGTGTGTGGTGAGCGTTCTGGCGCACTATGGCTGCCGTCGCATCATCCAGGTGGGGCTGCACACTGGTGGTGGTGGAGGGGAGTCCCCACTACCTGGATAAAACTTTGAGTGGAGTGTCCAGAAAAGCGCTATATAAGTGTAAGCAATTATTATTATTATTATTATTATTATTATTATTATTATTATTATTATTATTAATGTTCCAATCCATACAATGTCCATTATCACTAGAAGCTATTAAAAGTTACAAAAAAACACAACCAAGCAATATGACCAACCAAGCAATTCTTTCAATATGAACCTTTACACCTCAGTGCTTCAGCAAACGTTATTTTTTTCCGGGGGTATGGATTTAGGGGGGGCTTATCTAAGCAACCCCGAGACATGGCAGACCTCCCTTTACCTGGTAGAGAGTGATCGCAATGGAGGCCAGCGAGGTGACGGAGATGAAGAGCTCCCAGTTCCGCACCAGCTGCTTTTTGGGAGAGACCACATACTGGCTGCGGAGGGCGGCGGAGCCTGCGGCTGCACGGTCCTCCACGTCGTAATCGTAGATGTCTTCAAAGCCCATGGCCGGAGCGGGGCGCTAACCGCACCTGTGACACCGCCATCCGGGCAGGCCCGGGGCAAACAGGGCAGAAAAGTGGCGCTTGGTCTTCACGGTCAATCAGTATTATTGGCTAACTAATCATATTTACCATCACTGACTGATAAGCGAAAAACAGAGATAATGCTTTAAAGAACGTCACTGTATCGCCGTGATTTTACAGCAGAGCTGCGAAGTTAAAAATAAATATATGACATAAGGTTCCACCAGAGCCGAAACTTGAAGCGTTTTTACTTTACCTTTCCCACCATTTAACTCGTTAAATGTGAACAATAACTGTATTAGGATCAATGTGAGCTACAGATAGACCCGAAATTGTACTCCTAGCCCGCAGGAAAGGGCAGAAAGGAAGAAAAAGCACGGAAAATCCTAAATAGACTAGAAAAACTGAGACTGGAAGACTTACTCGTCACTTTAACGCATGAGATGTCGGTGGGGAAGGCGGTGGAGGGTGTCTGAATAGTGAATATTTTTGACAGAAAGTAGACCTTGCGTGTTAACCGCGGCGTCTCCGAAATACGTTAAAAAAGCGGATTTCTCCGAAGCACTCGCGAGCTCATATTTGAATTTTTTCCCGGGGTTAATTCCAAGCCGCTCGCCCTCGCGCTTAACGGAAAGCACCGCACAGGTAACCGGTCGGGTACCGTAACTCCAGATTTTCTACAAAAAAACAGCAAAAATGTCCCCCGGGTTACCGTCTCTAACACCTTCAGATCCCTGACCGGTGCACATCTCTGGCTGTTGAGGCTGGGGATCTGGAACAGGTCTTATACTTGACCATTTCAATAAAGTATTGACACAAGTCAGTGTCCTGGGGGGACAGCGTCATATACACAGCAGAACAGCACGGTGCAGTTGAACACAAGCACGTACAGCACTCTTCACAAAGAGTCGTGGCTCAAAGACAACAATTCGCTATGGAGCAGTCCATTTTTTCTGTGACTGGGGCTCCATGACCCTTAGAATATTGCTAAAAATGAGAGGAAAAACAAAAGCCACGCTGGAACCAGGTCAAAAACGCCTTTATTAAAAAACAAAATAAAAAAACAAAAACCAAAACAGAACGGTTTTGAAAACGCTGGAAAGCTTGCAGTCGGCGGAGGCTCTGAGGAAGCCGGGCTGCTCCCCGCTCCGCACAGTCCCCAGGCGAAAGGCACGCCGCCCCCTGGGAGAAGAGATCCCACAATCCCGGCTGGCGACGGACGGAGGCTCCGACCTTCGGAAAACACATCCGGAGAGCGCGCGCCGTCCCACAGGAGTAAACCCCCCCCTCCCCCCTCCCACCGGCTACAACAGAACACAGACAGGAGAAGAAATAAAACGACACGGGGACATGGGGCTGCTCGCCTTTCCGACGCTTGACCCACACAGGAGACCCCCCCCGTGGATCGCGCGCCGAGGCTGGGGGGGCATCTGTGCCGGCGGTGCGAGGTGTAGTACTGCACCGGCGCCCGCCCTCCGGCCAGGGGTCGTCCCGGGACACCGGAGCCGGCTAGGAGCGGGCCAGCTTGGACTCGTGGGCCTTCAGCGTGCCGACGGCGTCTTTCACCGCGTGGTATATGATGTTCTTCACCTGCGGGGGGGGGATGGGATGGAGAAGCGGAGACAGTTCAGCGAGAGCGTGGCGGTACAGCTGTGAGGAGTCCCACCTCCCCTGCCAGCACAAGGCAGAGCCCTGCGGACCCCCAGAGTGTCAAGAGACAAAAGGCCTCCATGGCCTCATCGAGTCACACGAGCCCGACTGATCTTCCCCAGTCGCAGCCCTACAGCTCCTATAGACTCAACAGGCACACAAGTCCGGATCGACCCAGTCAGTCCGTGGGGCCGGCTGACATCAGGACTGTCCTGTGAGCGGTGGTGCCCGAGAGCTACAGGGTGGTGGTGCTCATTTACAGTTCAGATGATCGCTACCCTGCTTCAGTTTCAACAAGTCTCTTGCCTCCATGGTCAGATGGAAACTGCTCCAGGTGTTTAAGCCTTGACGACTCTCACGCTCTGGGAACGTTTGTCAGAGCTATGAATGGATGAGGGATATTTCACAAGATACCACTGTTTTAAGAGACAGATGGTGGTAGGAAAAGGCATCTTTTTTTACAGTGGACCGCAGTCCTCTTGACGTGCAGCTGGGACACCTTGAGGCACAGGAGGACAAAAGCAGTGAACCAGCCCAGGACAGGCGGCTGGACCCAGCCTTTCAGAGTCCGGCCCTTCTCAAGCCCCCCTCGGCCACAGGGCTTACCCCCCAGAGGAGCCCTGAAACACAAAGGCATAAGAGCGCCCCGAGAAAGGCCGGACCCCCGGCGCCCCTCACTCACCTGCAGCTTGTCCTCGTGGTTGGAGTGCGTGTTGGACAGGTGCCTGAACTCCTGCGTCAGCCTGAAGCAGTGCTTCACATGCTCCGGGGACACGAAGTCTTCCGCCACCTTGATGCAGCTGTACAGATTGTGCACCTGCAGAGGGGCAGGGAGGGAAGGGCTCAGCCGACAAACCCACAATCCCCCAGAGAACCGCCAAGCAACAGTGTCTCAGAGTGACCCGTCTGTCTGAGTCATCAACAGATTGTGCACCCCACCCCCACCCGAGGGGCAGGAACAGACAGCGCATCGCAGACGGGCTCGGATATCAAACCCACAAGCCCCCCCCAAGAGAGCCGCCAACCAACACAAATCGGTCTCGGCACGACTCTGGAGCGAAGCTGCGTCTGTCCGTCATTTGCCAGCACAGGAACCAGCTGGGCCTCGAGGCATGAACAACTGAATATATAAACTGGCTCCCCTGAGAAATAATAAGAATTCCACATGGCAGAAGAGTGAAATGAGGCTAACTGGTATCGTGGTGGGGGGAGTCTCAAGGCTACTGGGTACAGAAAGGTGCTCACTAAGTGGCAGCATGGTCCTGGTTCCAATCAAATCCTATTTGCTCTGATTTTGCCATTACTGTGAACAGTAAATACCTAGCAATGGTGCAACTTAGCTAATCACACAACTCAAGAAGTGCAGATTGGGGGCTTTGGGACACAACCCGTTTGTCGGTCCGGACCGAGCTGCACCCCGGCTCAGGGGGTGTTGGGAAGTCAGCCCAGACCTGGTGCGGTGCTCCGGCGGGGATGAAGACGGCGTCCCCGAGGAACTGCACGATGGCCCAGCCCTGCACGCCGTACTCCTCGTACAGCCTCCGCCGCAGCTCCTGGTCCAGGTACCAGCTCTGGTCGTGGATCGGGTCATGGTCCGGGGGGTTCTCCTGGCCCTGCTCCTCGCCCACCTGCAAGGGGGAGGGATTGGGGGGTCACCGGAACAGCGTCCGAAGGAGGGCAGGGCAGGGGGCTCCAATCCTGGTCCTGGAACCCCAACACCTGCTGCCTTTCATTCCAGTCATCTCTCAGGTACACAATCCAGCCCTCAACCTGACTTAATACCAGGACTGACTCGGGCTGTTCTCAGCTCTTACACGAGACCGGCTGCCTTTGAACGATCGTTCCATACAGCAACACAAACTGCTAGTTCTGAGGAGAGAAGAACTTTCGAATACTCCAATGAAGAACCCTGTCTGCTCAATTAAGCTCCAATTAGGCAGCCTGGTTAACTGGAATGTAATGACCCCCCAGCAGGTGTGTGGAGCTGCAGAGCCAGGACTGGGATCCCAGAACTCTGGGCCGGGAGGACTGGACCCCAGCAGGACTTGTGGGTCTCATTCATTGTCCAACTAATTCAGGTAAGAGATCTAGCTTCTCGGGTTGGGGGGAAGAACCCAGCTGTGCCCACAGGCAAGGGGATCCCCGTTTGCAGCACCCCAGCTAAAGCTCCCTGCTGCTGAACCACACCTCGGTCGAACCCATTTCCGGTTCCGTTCCATCCTTTCCAGAAGGGCTCAGTCTCTGGAGACTGCGGAGAGCTCTGAAGCTGGGCCCAGGCCGGGACAGCTCCCTGGGATCCGGGCCGCCTCCGGATTCGGGTCTCGGTCTCGACCCGCTGGGCAGGACACTGCAGCATCATGTCTGGACCAGCCCAGCGCACAAACTGGGAGCGCAGGCGCGCGGTCCCTCGACGGAGACAAGGGACGCCCTCAAACCATATGGGGAGGGGAAGGGGGTTGGGGGGTTCAAGGGGGTTCCCTCCAGGCTGCTGACGGGACCCATGGATAACACTAACCCCGCGAGCTGAGCTCCAGAAAGCTCTCCGCACATCGAGAGAGGTGGGGGATCCCCGCGCTCGTTAACCTCACCTTCCGGAGAAGCTCTCGGATCTTCTCGGCGTCCTTGGCAGCGTAGATGTGCCACAGGGCGCCGGGCTTCTCCCTGCCCTCGTAGATCCGGCGCTTGGTCATCTCGTCCACGTCGCCCTCGTCGATGGTCTTCGCCACCTCTGCGCAGCATGGACAGACGGGACAGGAGAGAGAAACCACACCCCACAGGGTTACGCTTAACAGCGGACAGCAAGGACAGCGGACAGGGAGGACTCCCTCTCCAGATCCCGTCAGGAAAAAGCCTCCGGACTGCTCGAGGGCATCCCGGCCAAAGCCACAGAGGAGAAATCTGAACTCCGAATGTGGCGCAGCGGCTGCGTTTTAAAAGCGTCTCCTGATGAGAAAATGTTTATTGGTCTCGTTCTGAACCACAGAAAAACACCTGTACTGAACTACAAGCATAAGCTCATGGTTAGCAACACTTGGGAGCATTTAAAATGAAGAATCAATGCACAGACAAAAAAAAAAAAAAGCAGAGCTGATCTGCAAAGCACTTCACAGAAGGCACGCACACCCCAGGAGACTGCAGACAGGCCTGTCCCTCAAGAGGCCAGGGCACACAGCGCACCCCAATCACACTGGGGTGCATGCTTCTCGCTATGTATTTCCAATCTGTCTTCCTACATAAACTCAGCTTTCAGTTGAACTTGGCATCAATTTAAACCATAAACGAGGCTTCTACTTCGTACAATTACAGAGATTTTAAAAAATGTTTGAGGGGACATCATTCCAGGCAGAAGCTGCCTCTGTAGGACTTTGGTACAAAATGGTTCATTAAACGAGGACGTCCACAGGACTTCACTTCACTGGAGGTGAGCTTCATATACCAATACTGCTGGAGTACCGTATGCACTAATACACCACAACAACCCAGTCACAGCCCCTGTGGAGTCCAGTACACTGACAC